CAAAGCCCCAGTAGATAGTTGTATGTCATAGGTTCACATCCTTCTAGTTGCTGTACGTGGGACTCGGCCTCGGGTTGGATGGAGAAGTGGTGCCTTGGGGCGTGCCTGGGATCCGAACCCGGGCCGCCAGCATCAGAGCGCGCGCACTTAACCGCTAAGCCACGGAGCCGGCCCATATATATTTATATAGAAAAAATTAAAATAATCTTTTTCTTCTCTTTTCCAACAAAAACAAATGGGAAAAAAGAGAGAATGAGAAAATTAAACGTGTCCAGGAGATTCCACATCTAGATAACAGACATTCCACAGAGAAAACAGAAGGGAGGAAACAACTGAAGGAGTAATTCAATGAGTTTTCCCAAAAGTGAGTATCCAAATTGAAGGGCCAACACTGCAGATATTAAAAAAAAAACTACTCCAAGACATAAAATGGTCAAATTTGAGAAGACTGGGGAAAAATAAAATAAAATCTTAGCTTCCAGAGAGAAAGGGGACAAAAAAATAGAAAAAAAAAGAAAAATGTGTTTTATACTACAGTGATATTAGAATTCTCAAGACCAACACTAGAAGCTAGAAGACAATGGAGCAATACCTTCAAAACTCTAAGGGAAAACTATTTCCAGCCTACAATTCTAGCCAGCCAAATTATCAATTAAGCATGAAGATGGAATAAAGCCATTTTCAGACATACAAGGCCTCAAAAAAAACACAGTTCCCATGTAGTCTTCCTCAGGACGTTACAGAAGTTCACCAAAACAGTGAAATAAACCAAAAAGAAAAATAAACTTGGGATTCAGGAAACAGGTGATGCAACAAAAGAGAACTATGAAAGCAATCCTCAGGAAGATGGTGAAGCGAAATTCCAAGAAAATAGCTACACAGCGGGTGCAAATCCGAACTGGAGCACGTCAGAAAGTTCTGAAAAATACTTCTTCAAGAAGATGAAGCTTACAGAATACTTAATGTACATGACGTACTAAAAGCAGATTTACACTAATGCGGGTGAGTTTAGGGTTAAATCTATAGTAAGTAATTATATTTAAAAACTTCACAAACTTTAAAAATGGGTTTATTAACCAGAAGAATAAATACATACAGGTAAGAAGTTACCACGTAGGGCTTACATAGCCCACAAAGCCCCTGTATGACTAGCACTCACCATTATGTCTTTGACATCAGCTGATGACTCTGCTCCTCAGTCTGCTTCAGCCAAACTGGCCTCCTTGCTATTTCTAGAAAATGACCAGTACACTCCCAACTCATTTTGCTTTGGCTGTTCCCTCTTCATAAAACACTCTCATCCCAGATATCGAAATAACTAATACCCTCACCTCATACAGGTCTTTGTGCAAATGTCACCTTCTCAATGGGGGTAACCTGGCTACCCTACTTAAAATTACAACCCACACCCTACTCTCCCACCCTGCCACTCTCTGTCCTCCATCCCCTGATCATTTTTTTCCTATAGCACTTATCAGTTCCTCAAATACTTTATGTTCATTGTTTGTTGTCTGTTACCCTCTCCGGAAGTAAGTTCCATAAGGAAGATAAATCACAAGCACCTGGAACAGTACATGGCACAGAGCAGGAAATGAATAAATGTTGAGTGAATGAATGAGTGAATAAATGAATGAATAAATAATTAACAATGGAAAAGCAATCATGCAATACTACAGAAGCTTCTTGTCTCACTCGTGAATAGCATCTACGTAACCATAATAATATTCATCCTATAAAATTATAATATAAACTAACACAAGAACAAGAGAAGGCTATGTATGTATGTATGGTGGATTGGATAAGAAACCCAAATAAATACCCATCTTCCATAAAGGGACATCAATAGGTAATACGTAAAATGGGAAATCAAGAAGTAACAACATAAGCATTTTATTTATATGTAAGAAAACAGCCAAAGGAATCAACTAAAATAGCTTAAAGTGGTTATCTTTGGAAAGCAAGAAATTGGGTGGCCAAGTCAGTTTTTCAAACTATTTAACACTTGAAACTACGTGCAGATGTGACTCCTAAAAGGTAAATTATAAGGAAAAAAAAGACAAGTCACATGCTGGGAGAAGATACTCATCATGCATATAATCAACCCAGGATTAATACCCAGATCACATAAAGAATGTCAAGACCAAACACCCAATAAATGTAAGAAATGATATAAAAAAGCATTTCATAGATGAGGAAGCATGAATGGCCAATAACATGAAAAACTGCTCAACCTCATCAATAATCAGGGAGATGCAAATTAAAACCACAATGAGATATTCTTTTACACCTACCAGATCAGCAAATATTTAAAAGTCTAACATCATTAAGAGTGCTAATAAAGAATGTGAAACAACAGAAACTTGCATATACTACTGACGGGTCTGTAAATTGGTAGAACCACTCTGGAAAACATTTGATTTGCATTACCTAGTAAAGTTGAAGATGTACTTACCCGACTATTCAGCAATTCCACTCCTAGTTATATATCCTACAGAAATTCCTGGACAATGTGTCAGAGGAATGCACAATAATTTTTGTCAGAGTACTATTTTTATAACCAAAAAAACTGGAAACAAACCAAATTTTCACCTACAGGAGAATGAATAAATACGCTGCAATATACTCATAAAATGAAATATCCTAATAGTAGTTAAAAATGAGTGAACTAGAGAAACGTGCATCAAAAAGCAAGTCTCAAAACAAAACTTATGTGTCTTTTATGTGATTCCATTTATATAAAGTAAAACAGCAAAACTCAATATGAGTAAGTGGTAAAACTAGAAAGAAAGCAAGAGGACAATAAACACAAAATTCAGGACAGTGGTTATCTCTAGGGGACAGAGAGCATGGGATCAGGAAAGAGCACAAAGGGGACTTCAGTGAGTGGGGGTGGTGGTATGGTGTCGGTGTGTGTTCTTTTATACTATAAAAATTTCATAACAACAAAATTTTGTACCAAAAACAAGGACAGACCTAAGACTGAATAGAATAGAAAACTTGCATACATTTTCAATCAAAAAGATTTAAGTACACCGAGGGTCAGCGAGTTTAAGGACTTGCCAACAGGCACAGACAGAGTAAGAGTCAAAATTCAGAACTCAAGCTAGGTTTGTCTAACTCACAATTTGATATCCTTCCCATTTAGAGAACCAAAAAGGTAGCTTGGCTAACTTATAAAACATGTGTAAATTTCATTCTCAAATAACAAAATTAAAGGGGAGAAATCACTGGGAGTAGAAGATGCTCAAAGTTCCAAGTAACCCTCAATGTAGATGGCAAATACCTGGAGAAGTGGCATATATGAAGAATGGGATATAGCTGTAGAAAGCAACTGTGCAGAAATCTATGCAACTCTAACTTGCAAAAAAGGAAAGTAACTACCACCGAGGCCCCTCTATGCAAGGGCACTTTATATGGAATATTTTATGAGTTCTCTCAACAATGCTAGAAGTTAGGTATCATACTCAATTTACAGATGAGAAAAATAAGATTCAGAGAGTTAAGAGAGAAGAAATTCTTCAATGAATATTCCCAGTGCCCCATCTGGCTCAGGGAAGTTCAGTCAGCCAGACAGATGAGCAGGAATACACAGAAGATGACTACAGTGATATCACAGGTATTTAAGATAACTATGCACAAGAGGAGGAAATGAAGAAGCCAAAATAAAAATCAGAAAGGACAATTTCTTCTCTCTGAAACTGTGGGAAGATTTCTACATTCACCTAATACTCCACTAAATATGAGAACGAATGGATGCTTACCTGTGACCAGGATGGTAAATAGCTGTGTTGATTCCATGAGGATAATGACTACTGAAGCTGAAACAGTGACTCTCTTGATAGCTCTGATTTGTTCCAACACTAAATTTAAGAAGGTAAATAAGAAATAAATACTATTAAACGAAAGTGAGATGCCACTAAATACCCACTAAAATGTCTATAATTAAAAAGACAAACACCACCAAATATTGCTGAGGATGGGGGCTGACCCAGTGGCGCAAGCTGTTAAGTGGGTGCACTTCACTTCGGCAGCCCAGTGTCTGCAGGTTCGGATGCTGGGAGCGCACCAAATGTATTGCTGAGGATGTAAAACAACCAGAACTCTGATGCATTATTAGAAGGAATCTGAATGATATAACCACTTTGGAAAAAGGTCTGGCAGTTTCTTATAAAAATAAACTATATCTACCTATGACTCAGCAATTCCACTCAAAGATACTGACCCAAGAGAAATGAAAATGTATATCCATAAAGACTTGTACAAGAATGGTCATAGCAACTTTATTCACAGTACCCCAAAACTGGAGACTTCGAGGTCCATCAATAGAAGAATGGATAGACAAATCATGAGTGTTATGGACTGAAGGTTTGTGATCCCCATGGATTGAATGTTTGTTGGCCCCCCCCAAATTCATGTTAAAACCCTAATGCCAATGTGATGGTATTTGGAGGTGGCGTCTTTGGGAGATATTAGGTCATAAGGATGGAGCCCTCATGAATGGGATTAGTGCCCTTATAAGAAAAGGCCAAAGAGCTGGCTAGCTCTCTTTCCAACATGTAAGGATATAAGAAGTTGGCAGTGTGCAACCCAGAAGAGGGCTCTCACCAGAACCTGACCACGCTGGCACCCCAATCTCCAACTTCCAGCTTCCAGAACTGTGAGAAACAAATTTCTGTTGTTGATAAACCCCTTAGTTTATTATAGTTGTTATAGCAACCCAAAGTAAGACACATGAGATATTCATATAATGCAGTATTAATCAGCAATAAAAAGGAATAAATTACTAATCCATGTAAAAATATGGATGAATCTCAAAATATGCTGAATGAAATAAGACTTAGACAGAAGAGCACATACTATATGAGTCCATTAATGTCAATTACTAGAACAGGTAAAACTAATCTGTGATGGAAAAAAAATGATAGTAGTTGCTCTGGGGGTGAGTGTGGACAGAGATTTACTGGGAAGAGGCATGAGGGAACTTTCTAGAATGATGGTCATGTTCTGTATCCTGATAAGGGTTTGAATTGCACAAGTGTATGTATTTGTCATAACTCACTGGCTAATATACTTAAGACCTGTGCATTTCGTTGTATGCAAATTTTATCTCAAAAGAAAGAAAACTATAATCAAATAACGAATTTTACTTAATGATATGCATGCTAAAGTATTTAAGTACTGACACAAATATATTAAAAATAAGATTGATTAATGGCTGGATAAAGGAAAGAACAGAAATGTGATATAGCAATTATAGTAAAAAGTTAATTATAGAATTTAACTGGAGGTATATGAGTGTTCACTATACAATTCTTTCAACCTTCCTAACATATTTGCAATTTTTCACAATAAAATGCTGAAATAAAAAAAAGAAACACCAAAATCTGACACTAATCCAGAGAAATAAACATTATTTCAAATAGGACTTCCCAAATAAAGTATATTCTTACCTTACAAGGTAACTTCTAAGTTCTCCTCGGTAATTGATAACCAAGAGTTCTGCAGACCACTGCGCACTTGCTTTATACTCTAAAAATATCAACCCAGCAATGGCACAGCTCAAATCACCTGCTAAACTAGACGCCTGTAGAAGAGGGAGAGATTAAGTTACTAAAAAGATACTAGATAGAAGTTATTGTAGGTATAGGTAACTGGAGGATGTCCGAGACGCTGGCCTTGCCAGGTGCACTTTAAATAAAATAGCTCTGGAATTGATCTGTATCCTGAAGAATCAGGCAAGCCATGATTAGCTCTTCTGAATGCAGCTACTAGAAAATTTTAAATTACACACGTGATCGCATATATAGCTCACATATCTATTAGACAGTGCCAGTCGAGAAAACAGTAATCTAAACCTCTTTAGTTTGGTTCTCCAGGACTTCCATAATATGAGCTCAATGCACTTTTTCAAGTTTCTCCACTCGTTATCTCTGAACAAAAATTATTCTCTACATCATTGGTTCTCATCCCTAGCTTCTCATCAGAATCAGCTGAAAAACTTGAAACAATATTAATGCCCAGGGCCCACTCAGATCAATTAAGTCAGACTCTCTGTGGGTGGAGCCTGGGCAATCCAGTAATTCGTTTTGTTTTTGTTTTTCTTTTCTTTATAAAGCTTCTCGGGTGACTCTAAGATGCAGCCAGAACCAGTGCTCTACCTACTCCCATATCTTGTTCACTTGAGGAAGGAGGATGCGAAGTAAAAAGCAGTGGATTTCTAAAAGAGACACTAACTGGATTGCCGCTGGAAAAGTCATTTTACTCCCTCCCTCTCAATTACAGTTCTCTAAACCATAAAGTGAGTCTACCCGAAAATCTACCCAATCTACTCAAAGGGTGTGGTGAATATTAAATAAGAATATATATCAGTCATTAATAAATTATAAAGCACTGCACAAATACAAGTTATTACTACCATTCATTTTTTTCTCCACTCTCTCTTTTAATTTCTAACCCCTTCAGGGTAACAAATTCTAACTGCTCTTCAAGCCGCTCCTCTTGTGACAGCCCCACTGACTTCTTTCCCTCACTGGAACTTTATAACAGCTTTCTATACCTCTATTTAGTACTTACTTACTACCATGTTTTAATAATGGTGGATTAACATCTGGATAGTGCACCATAAAATACAAAGAATAACTATTTCACATACAGATCTCTAGATTCTGAGCATCTTAAGTTCACAACTTATTATTCTGATTTATATTTATATTTCCTCGCTCGTCACATTCATTCATTCAGGTACCTATACATGAAAGGCATTCAAAAAACTACATTATCAGTTTAAGTATGCACATACCGGGGTAATAACAAAGAGTTCACTTCCCATGAGATCAAACACCCTCACAGTTCCTGTGCTTTCAGCATAGGCCAGCAGGGTACAATCATAACTCCACGCGACACGCCTCCACTGGGGTTTTGGGTCTTTTGGAACTAGAATGAAAAGAAGTGCTTTTAAAAATACATTATAAAATAGTTAACACTTATCGTTACTGCAACTAAAGTACATATTCAACTATATTACATCATCTCCTAAGGACCTCTAATGCTTTAGTTCAATAGAAAAGAATGGTTCCTAGAAACCCATTTCAAGTAAGAGGGGGAAACACAAACCATAGCAAGCTCTGACCCACTTACTTGAGAAGCAAAGCCCACTGACACCAGTGGTCTGTTGAATGCTAAGCATGTCCTAGGCTCTTAAAGGCTGGGTAATAATATACTTCACAATACTTATGAAATTAAGAGAGATCAAAGGCACAGAGAATGGGTAGAAAATAATTCTAATCCAATGAGTTGAGCTCTTCTATAAGCAAAAAAACGAAGATTTCCACTGAGGTCTTTTAAACATAGCAAATATAGATGCCAAGGAAATACAAAGGAGGATTATACTGACACAGTATTAGAAAGAGAAACCCATATATATATACACATATATATACACACACACATACATATGTATATTATATAAATATATTAGGCAAGTGAATCAAGAACTGTTCTTAGTCAATCACACAATTGTAAGATGTTAATAATCAACACCTTAATAATCCAAAACTCAGGCCAGCCCCGTGGCCAAGTGGTTCAAGTTCCACATGCTCCACTTTGGAGGCCCGGGTTCAACGGTTCACATCCTGGGCGCGGACCTACTCCACTCATCAGCCACACTGTGGCGGCGTCCCATAGACGCCAAATATAGAGGAAAGACTGCCAAAATAGAGGAAGACTGCCAACGGATGTTAGCACAGGGCCGATCTTCCTCAACAGAGGGAAAAAAAAACAATAATCCAAACCTGTATTTTTTTCTGTTCTGAATTTTTTCAGTACAAAAATAGAGAGAAAGACTAACAGTTGCAAAAGAAAAAGGGACTGTGAAACTCTAAACTGTGTCAGGTTTGCTGGAGGTTTTTGATATTTTGTTTGCTTCAGTTTCCCCTTATTAGAATCCCAGAACTGAAGAGACAGGTAGGACCAGTGCCTCCCCTTGACCAATAAGAATTCCAAACAGGTAGGGGACTTCAGATGACACTGTGAGTCACGAGCAGAACAAAGCCCAGAGCCTAAGTGTCCTGCCTCCCACACAGCGCGTGACGCCTTACAGCACACTGCCTCTCAGTTACAGCTTGGACTTAGCCTCAGGACTGCCTCAGAACGTTTCTGAAATGTATCGCCTTCTCTCTATTGCTCTGCTATATCCCAGCTCAGCCTTCATCATCTCTTGCTTAGATGCTCGAACAGCAGCCTCCTAACTAGTCTTCCTTCCTACCTTCAGTCTCTTCCCTTCTAAGCCTTCCTCAATACTGTTCGAAGATATCTTCCTAAAATAGAAAAAAAAAACAGATCACATCCTTCTGCTGCTTTAAAATCCCTGATGGTTCTCCATTTCCAACAACATCAAGTCTAAACTCCTCCATGCACATGAAAGGCCCTTCACAAATGGCCCCATCATAGCTTTTCAGTTTCACCTCCCATCACTTCCTCCATCACACATCTAATAACCCACCAATAACATAACCACCTGGCAAATAAGCAAACCATGCACACTCGAGTCTCTGTGTCCTTCATACACATTGCTGCCTCCACCTAGAATGTTCATCTCCAATATTAGAGAGGGTTCTTGTTTGTTACCACAACCTGTGGTAACAAACTGTTACCTTCTCCTTCCTTGACATTCTTCAAAACTGACTGCTCTCCTACCTGTGCCCCCAAATATGCTGTTGAAAGTCTTTCAGAGCATTTATCACATCATATTATGTTGTTTACATAACTATATCCCCCACAAGTCTCCAAGCTCCTTGTAATCAGAGACAATGTCTTACTCAACATTGCCATCCCAGGACCTGAAACAGAAAGAGATTAATGTTTCACTAATGAGTGAAGCCTAAATTTCTCAGGAAAATCTATATTAACAGGGCAAGGTAATGGGAAGGGTTTACCATCCCTCAAGGACTACCAAACAATTAAACATGAATTATATAACTTCTCTCCACCTAAAAGAGGTACTGTAAAATTCAGACTTCCCTCTTCTCTCTGTAATATGTGTAATATATGTTCTGTATATGGGGAAAGTATACCAGATGTCAATCAATTTCATCATTTTGACTATTACCAACAGGTAAAAAGAATGCAAAAAAAATCCAAGAGAGGCTCTTGACCATAGGAGGGTCTAGTGGATTTTATTAAAGCCTAACAAGAAACCGTATATACTCTGGAAAAGCAATTTTTACAAAATGGGAATAGGGCCAGCCTGGTGGGATAGCAGTTAAGTTTGCCCGTTCCGCCCAAGGTTCGTGAGTTCAGATCCCAGGGGTAGACCGACGCACAGCTTGTCAAGCCATGCTGTGGCAGCAACCCATATAAAATAAAGGAGGATGGGCACGGATGCTAGCCCAGGGCCAATCTTCCTCAGCAAAAAAGAGGAGGATTGGCAATAGATGTTAGCTCAGGGCTGATCTTCCTTACCAAAAAAAAAAAAAGGGAATAAAATAAAGAAAAAGATCAGTTCTCTGTCTTCAGATAGCCAAAAAAAGAAAAAGTCAAACTTGGAAGTAAACATAGGCACAAAAAAATAACACAGGACCCACATATACACAGATGCTACATAAACACCAGCAAGAGGACAAACAACTTAATGTCCTGGAAAATATTCATGTGCTACAGAAACACAGCAACATTTTCCATTATTACCGTTTTAGCAGTGATAACAGGATTTTCCTCTTATTTCATGTTGATAGGATAAATAGATTTATGCACTACACTCTGTATCTGTCTGAAATAAGCTCTATCTGAAAGGGATTTGTTTTTACTATTACTTCTAGTTATAACCAGTAGCTCCGGAAAACTCAGCATGTGTTTTGACCCAGATAAAGATATGTTTTCATTACAAGATAAGATTTCACATAACAATGTGCAAATAAAGACTTTATCACTGGATTTTTCCAGCTGCCTGTGTGGTTTTGAAGAGGAAGGAACAGTACAGATTTCTACAGAGCAAGTGTAAATGGAGCTGTCTGAAAAGAATTCAAACAGGCTGGTGGTCAAGTTAACCAGCAACCTGACAACTGCCGCGGTCACGGTGAAATGATTTACACCTGCACACCTTGACCAACTGCAGCCCCTTCAACCTGTCCAGCTGCCAAGCTCTTTTCCACCTCAGAGCTTTTGTCAATGCTGTTTTCTTTGCCTGGAACCCTTTCCCTGAACACTTCCCTGGCTCCTTTTCATCTTTCAGATCTCAATTTAAATATCTCTTCCTTAGGATGCATTCTCTGATCATCCTAAGTAGCCTCAAGGCCCCATTATTCTCCACCATTCCAATGATTTCATTTCCTTCACAGCTCTTATCCCACATAATAATTATACATTTGTTTATCTACTTTTTATAATTTTATTTATTTATTTATTTTTCCCCCAAAGCCCCAGTAGATAGTTGTATGTCATAGTTGCACATTCTTCTAGTTGCTGTATGTGGGACGTGGCCTCAGCATGGCCAGGGAAGCAGTGCATCTGTGCACGCCCGGGATCAGAACCCGGGCCGCCTGCATCGGAGCACACGCACTTAACCGCTAAGCCACAGGGCCAGCCCTGTTTATCTACTTTTTATTCTCTGCCTTATTCATTAAACTGTAAGTTCCAAATGTCAGGTACTGTGTCCATGTTGTTCATAACTTTATCACTAATGCCCAGTACTCTGGTGATACATAACAGGCACTCAAATGTCAAAGGAATACACTTTAATCCAGTGCTCATTTACCCAAATTAGAAATGGAAATGGGAAAAGATCTACAAATTAAGGAAAACTAGGTTTTATTCTCAGCTTCCATAAAACAACTGGGTGTGACCTTAGGGAGACTGCCAAGGTGTAGTTTCTCCATTTACAAAATGAAGGGTTCAATGAACAATCTCTCATATACATTCTTTCACTTTTAAATCAAGAACCAGTGAGCAAGAGCAAACTAGCAGAGCTAGAGAGACATGCAGAGAAGCTAAATATTTAAATGTTTGAAATAATAACGTCAGTAGAAGACATGAGAAAAATTTTACAATCCTAGAATAAGAACGGTCTAAGCATGATAAGAAGCCCTGAAGTTATAAAGGGAAAAAAATGACAAATGCAGTTACCAAAAAAAAAAAGTTCCATGGGAAAAAAGACACTGTAACAAATTTAAAAGACAAATCAGTTGGGTAAAAATATTTGCAACATATACGACAAAGGGTTAACATTCATACCAAGAAGACCAAGAAGAAAAAATCCAAGTACTCTAAGAAGAATATAGGCAAAAGGATATGATCTAACAAGTCACAAAAAAATAAAAATACCCACTTAACATATGTTCTACCTAATAACTAAAGATATGCAAATTGAAAATGAGATGCTTTTCTCCCTTTGTCTGTCAACCTGATGAATATTTTTAAAATAGGTAACATACGGTGCTGACAATGGAGAAAAGAAAAGGCTTCAATCACACCCTTTTCATGGTTGTATAAATAGGTAAAATTTTCTGGAAGGAAATATAGCAGTAGCTATCACATTTAAATACTACACCCAAAGACAAACAGGATGTCTTTTTCAGTACTGTTAGAGGGAGAAGGGGACAGAGCTGGCTAAGAGAAAGGAAGAAACCAAGCCACGGTAAACAACCTAAATTTCTATCAAGAGGGGGCACAGATAAATAAAATGTGGTTCACATTCTTACGATGGAATACTGTGGCCACATTTACAAGATTGCAATGCATCTGTACACAATGAAGGGAAAGCCTTCATCAATACAGTTAAGTGTGGGAGCAAGGTAGAGAACAAACTCTATAGGATGATCTCGTTTCGTTCAAGAAAAAAACTCAATCCATGTATATATAGGTTCATATAAGCACAGAAGGTTTTATATTAAATCATCAATATAAGTTCTAAGAGAAAAGACAGACTTTTTTTTTTTACT